TTATATACAGATAGTATATTTTCTTTATCTAATTGTCTGTTGATGGCTGGAAAGCAGCTACTTTTTAACTTTTCATCAATAAAACCTATCACAGGACCTGGTATACAGTAAGTGATAAAAAGTTTGTTAAATAAATGAGCCAGAAATGATATTAACTTAGTCTCTAATAATGAGTAAATTAGAACATGATGATCACATATGGATAATGTGTCTTTTAAAAACATCTCCACTAGGGATTCAACTGATTTGTTTAATAAAAGAATTTGCATGTTTTTGTATGCACACCATGATGACATGTTCACTTGCTTTTATGGGAAAATCTGAAAACTAGAGATGAAAAGATAAAAACAGGACAAAGCTGGGAGCCATTTTGTGACATCACTTTTCAAGTGATTATTTTCATATGTGATTTTCATTTGCTGCTAAACATATGGGTTTGTTATTTACAAGTATTTACCCCAGAGAGTATGTGTAGAGCTTGGTTTAGCTATTGAGTTTTAATTTTATGATTTATAATAAAGCAATTTTTTTGTTCTAGAAACAAAAGCATTAAACAAAACTTATTATGCTTTCCCACTCCCAAGTTCCTAAATATCTCCCCAACCCAGGTGATGTTTCACTTATTTATTACATACAACGATGTTATGGGTTTCCCAAATCATTAAATTCTGCTACAATCAAATATCACTGCTTCTAAATTTGTCTCAAAGGGCCTTACATAGCACTTTAATAGAAAAAACCATAAAGGTCAAAAGCCCTTTTGATTCTTGCTGAGAAACTATTGTACACTTAAAATTCATTTAATTTTTCAAAAACACATTAAACTCCTCATACAATCTACTTGTAAAAAACAGCTTAGAATTTGTTGTATCAAGGCAGGTTTCCTTAGATGCTTTTTATTAAGAGTAATCCGTCTGTGGAACTTGCTCAGATTTGTTTCATTCAGTTCTCGTTTACTCTCTCTTTTTAAAAAAATCTATTTTGGTATTTTTTTTTATTTTGTTAATTTTTAAGCTTGAGTGATAGGTGGAAGATGCTTTAGATTACTCAAATGTCAAACTCTGAGTCAACTTATGCTGTTTTTAGCCATAAACATATTTTCTCATATCCTATGCTGTATAAAAAACCAGAAGGCAAAATGATAGAACAATGGGTACTTTCATTAATACTGTTTTACTTTGTCAATTCTAATCATTAGAAACAAATTACCGTACCCCATTCTATAGTCAGCATTGGGAAGGTAAGATGTGTAGTGTTCAAAAGGTACATAGGATCCAGTTCTGCTGTTTTTCAAATGGTAACCATTGTTAATCACATTATTTATCGACTATTCCATCATTCCCCAAGTTGAGTGTCATCTTTATCATTCTGTTTCTGGGCTTTCTGTTCTGTTCCATCTATTCATCTCTTTTCCTAGCTTTTGTATATGTGCTGCCGAAGTGAGCACATCCTAGCTTTTGAATGTATTTACAATCTGCTAAGGTTAGTCCTTTCTCATTCTTCTTTTTCAAAGATTTCCTGGCTATTCACCAGAGATGGGTTTCAGTGTCCCAGCTCCTACATTTCTGCCATGTCTCTGTTTGAATGAACATAAAATGAATGAATATAAAAGCTGACATGCACTGGGGTCCTTCAAATAACCAACAGTTCTTCAAATGAGACTAACAGCCAGGTCTTAAATTATAGAATATGCTAATTTCCTTTGCATTTTATTTAGTTGGTTCTATACAAAAACATCGCTATAGAATATAAATCCTGCATGTCAACTCTGTCACACCCAGGTATTTAAAATGCAATATTCCATTAAAATCATTGTACCTGAGCAATTGTCTCTGGGTCCAGTGGCTTGTGGTCATTGAAGCCTGTGTACTGTCCTGATGATGTGGATCTTCTGATAGGAGGACTGTCAATCTTCTTGAGGGAGTCATGCCGGCTGATGTTGGTCAGGCTGCCATGGCCAGGCCGGCGCCTCCTCTCAGGACTGTCATTATTGAGGCCACGGTTCTGCAGCAGGCCACGGGGCTGACCGGCCAGGTTTGGGGACCCCAGGTCAACTGAGGAGTTGGAAAGAGCATGTGGGGGATGGAGAGGGCAATGGCCATCACTGGTTCTGCCAGGACGCCTTAGTGGAGGGGGTGGCTCTCCTCTTTTTCTTTGTCTAGACATCCATAGAAAGAAAGAGAAATTAGAAGAGTTTGTCACACTGAGCAGTACTGCAAGGTGGAGGTATCATGGCTCCTCAAAGCCTTTGGAGAAGCAGAGGCCTAGGAGCCTGATTACCAGACTCCACTTACCTGGCTAAATAGCCATCAGAATGGCGGTCAGTGGGTGAGTTCATGTCCTTGGATGAGGACTTGTCTTCAGTGACCGGGCCACTACTGGCCTCACTGTCAGCTTTTTGGCTCAGAGTGTCAGAAAATGTATCATCCCTGAAACAGAATCAAAAGTGAGAGTCTTTTGCTAGATGAGTGGAAGCGAAAAAAGGCCTGGCATTTATGTATGTATGTATTTTTTTTATTAATGTACTTTTCATCTAAAAATTATTCATTTTTGTTATAGGTAAGTTGGAAATTTCAGATATACAAAAAAAGAGTAAAATAACAATCATCTATAACATCCAGAGATAGCTATTGTTAGAATTTTTTCCTATGCCTGGAATACATATATATTATTGTGTGCATATAATTTTTACACTTTGGCTATCTATATTTTAGGTAGTTTAGATATATATGACTGTATGTTTATATATACACATAATATTTCTTGGATTCTGATCTACTTATTTTAATATTTCTAAATTTATGCTAAATCATTAAATAATTTTATATATTTTATATAGTACATTTCTCTTTCTCTTGAAAAGCCATTCTTAGATTGACCATATATTTTCAAATACAAAACTCAGAAAATAGGGACTATATGGTATACATTATTTTGGTTTTTTTTGGTACCGGGGATTGAACTTGGGATCTTGTGCTTGAGAGGCAGGCAATAGCACCACTGAACTAAATCCCTGGCCCTGGTATATATTATTTTGTAACCTGTTTCTTTCACATATTATGGCCATTTTCCCATGACCTTAAATATTTTTGAAATTAGAGCTTTCTTATCAGCATAATTAAGACAACAGCAAAAATCCTAGAGGTGACTGCCTTAGATCGTAAGTCAGCATCCTTCCTCTTGGGAATTTGAAAATGAAACAGAAGGCAGACATCAAGAGGAGAAAGGTGCTGTTTGTGCAACTACCAGTGTCACTTCAGCTCTCACAGCTGTTCTCTGTAGAAATTATTTTTTCTCTGAACTTGAAAGTGCCCAAAGATGTCTCCCACTGGTTGTTGCTCCAACCATCTTGGCAGAGTTCGGGCAATGACTACCTGCTGGTCCTGAAGTACTACTGGCACAGAGCCGGCAGAAGGTGAAGAATTGGATCCAGCTCAGAAGTTTTCTCTTTGTAACCTCTTCTGCTCTTTTCTCACAAGACCAAAATCAGTTTAAGAACAATAGGTAGAGTCCTCTATTGAGAGCACCCAGGCAACTGAAGTTGGTACTACTCACATATCCTGCACCACTATGTACTGGTGAGGCACAAGCCCGTCGATCCCGTTGTGTCTGCCTTCCCACCAGTCCTCAGATGCTCGGTGATACAGCAGCAGGGAGGCGCCCTTCTTGAAGGACAGTTCTCTGGCAGACCGCCCAACATAGTCAAACTTGGCTATTGCTTCTATTGGCTCACATTCTACAAAGAACACGTGAGAAAGTGGAAGGGACAGGGTTGTTAGAAAGGCAAAACAGAATATTGAAATATGAGACTTTGGGAACAAATAGGCCATTTTAATATCCAGACTGAATAGAGTCATAAAAAAATCATTGAGGAGGAGGAAACAGAGTCAGTTAAGAGATACAGAAAAACATTTTCTGGCTGTCACCAGTTTTTCAGGCAAAGAAAAATTGAACATTATATCTTAATCTCCAGTTTCTCACCAGAGATATGACAACAGTCTAATAAAAATGTCAACTCTGCAATATAATATATAAAATCTCTCCTTGGTTATATCCTCCAAAGTTGTTCCAATATTTTTTGACATTGACAGAGTTCCCTTCCAACATTTTAATATGGTTTATAACATGGAAAAATCACCATCCCAGAAAACACTAGGATGTTTATGCTTTATTAGCTTATTTTTAAAAAATCAAATAAAATTACCAAATAAATACTATTTGAATATCTTTAATTTTCTCATGCTTTTTTCCCCCATCAAATTGTCAAGCTACCAGCAAAAGTAACTTTTCTTTTGCATCGGTAACAAATTTTGGATCTGAATTATGAAACAAGCATACCTTAGACTGTCCTCTACCCAAATTAAAAGGTTGGATTAAAAATATGTTTTGTAGTACTTAGAAGATATTCAAGACAAAAACAGCAAGTGAAGTAGGTCAAATCTCAAAAGTTTACACACTGTGGAATTCCATTTATGTAGCATTCTGCAAATGACATAATTATGGAAATGGAAAATAGATTAGTGGATGGCAGGGGTTGTGATTGAGAAGATGATAGAGGAAGTGGCTGTGGCTATAAAGGGTAGTGTAAGCAATCCTTGGAACTGTTCTTGATCTTGGCTATGACTGTGGTCACACAAATCTGTACATGTGATAAAACTGTAAATAACTAAGTAAACATACACAAATGAGTGCATGTAAAACAGGTGAAGTGTAAATATGGTGGATTGTATCATCAATTTCTTGGTTGTGATAGTGTACTACGGTTATGTAAGATATTACCACTGAGAAGGGCATACAGGACCTTTCTGTATTATTTCTTATAACTACATGCAAATATACAATGATCTTAATAAAAAGCTAAAAAACAAAAAGATATTGAACTCTGAGCCTAGAACTGGAATTCCACTCTGACTTAATTGTGGTCAAATATGGAAGGCAAACAAGAAGACAAAGTAAAGCACTGTTGAGAGATGCTTTTTGTGATTTAGCTTATTGTAAAAAAGGTCCTCAATTCAAGGAAGGCCTTGAGATGCTTCCTTTCCTCTCCCACCAACACGTCTTCATCCCCACTATCAACATAGGTGAGTGAGCTTCTGATCAATAATAAGCAGAAATCAAAAGGGCCAAAATAAAGTGTAAATGTTTATATAATTATATCTACACAATGAACAATACCTCATTTGCTAAAACCACGGCAGGTATTAATTTCAAAATACTCTGGAGTATGTGCAATATAAGAGACTAAAACCTACCTATCAAAAATTCCTCAGGAAAAAAAGTTCCTCAGGAAATTGTTTTCTATTTCCCTTGGTAACAAATATTCCTATTTAAAAGATTTTATTCTGCCCAAAGTTTATTGCAATATCTTCAATATATGTTGGACTTATTTTTCTACACTGATTTTAATTTATTTCATTTGGGCTGATTCCAAGATTTCACTATTACAAACTGTGCTGGTATAAACATGGGTGTGCATTTATTGCTGTGGTATGATTCTTTTAACTCTTTTGGGAAGATACCAAGAAGGAGACTAGCTGGATTAAATGGAACCTCTAGTTTTAGTTTTCTGAGGAATCTTTACACTGATTTCCACAGTTGCTGGACCAGTCTACACCCCCACCAACAGTGGAGAAGGATTCCTTTTTCCCCAGAGCCCCACCAGGATTTGTTCTTGGTTGATTTCTTGATGGTTGCCATTCAATCTGGAGTGAGATGAAATCTCAGTGCTGTTTTAATTTGCACTTGAATGGCCAGTATATTGAACATTTTTTCATATATTCATATGAAAAAGTTTATTTATATATATTTATATGCCATTTGTACTTCTTCATCTGAGAAATGTCTAGTCATTTCAGATGCCCATTTTTGGATTGGGTCTTTAAATTTGGGAGGGGGTTTGATTTTTTTTTTGTTCTTTATATATTCTAGATATTAGCCCTTTGTCTGAGGAACAGCTGGCAAAAAATTTTTTCCCACTCTTTGGGTTGTCTCTTTACTCCGTTGGTTGTTTCTTTTGCTGCGCAAAAGCTCATTAATATGATAAGATGCCATTTGTTGATTCCTTGTATTATTTCATGAGTGACTGGGATTTTGCTCATAGTCTTTGCCTATACCTACATCTTCAAGGGTCCTACCTATCCTATTTTCCAACATCATGACCAAGTAGGATTCTTCCCAGGGATGCAGAATGGCTCAACATATGCAAGTCAATAAATGTAATAAACCATATCAACAGAACCAAGGACAAAAGCCACATGATCATCTCAATAGAAGCAGAAAAAGTGTATGACAAAGGGCAACACTCATTCATGATAAAAAAAAAATTCTACAGAAAATTGGAATAGATGGTCTTTATCTCAATCTGATAAAAGCCATCTATGGCAAACTAACAGCCAACATCATACTAAATGGTCAAAAACTGAAAGCTTTCATTCTAAAATCAGAAACAAGACAAGGATGTCCACTATCACCGCTCTTATTCAATATAGTTCTGGAAACATTAGCCAGAGCAATTTGACAAGAGAAAGAAATATAATAATTGTCTTAGTTACTTTCTTACTTAGTTACTTTCTCCTTGCTGGGACACAATATCCAACAACCAGAACTTAATGGAGAGTTAGTTTATTCTGGCTTGCATTTCATAAGTTTCAATCGATGTGTAGCAGGCTTAAACACAGAAATGGCATGCTCATCAATGGCTGTTCACTTTCTGATGGCCAGGAAGCAGAAAAAGAAGGGAGAAGCCACAGAGGGAGATATACCTTTTGAGATCAGTCCTCCAGTGACTTGCCTCTTTTTTAAAAATTAATTTTATCGGAATACTCTTGATATACATAATGATCACATTCATTACCCCTCTTTTGACCAGACCCTACCTCCTAAAAGCAAGTCAGCTATAGCCCCCATAATTTAATCACCTTCCAAAAGCCCTGCCTATGGATGCATGAGGACTTTGGGGGACACTGTTGATATAAACCATAATAATTGAATGGGAAATTCTTGTATAGACAGACTATTCCTTACTTGGTAAATTCAAGATTCTCTGGTATATATAAGGTAAAAACATAAAATCAACAAAGATTGAAAAAGCTTAGCTTTTACCTTAGATAAAGGGGCTGGGCAGGTTATGAAAGAATGATCAAATATATCAGAAGAATATTTTATTGGCAATCCTAGTATATCAACTACTAATTCTGAGCAATTTCATTATTTTGACTCTTTCTACTCCCCTGAGAGCTATTTCACAGTCAAGTGTCAATCAATAAGCTATTTACACACATCTTAGTCTAGGTATTTCATGACAAATCAATCTCAGGGCATGGTGCACCATGCCCCTTTCATATAGGACAAGCCAGAGTCTTTTTAAGATTCTCCAGAGACTTTACATAATGCTGCTAGTGCTGATACCAATAACAATAATAGTAAGGGTATAACATGATCATTTAGTTTTCCTTCATGGCTATTAGAATTTTGTGCAAAAGGAAAAAAGAAAGTTCAGTAAAACTCATAACCTGATTGTGTGGAACTATCAAGTCTTATATTTCTATTTCTTGTAATTTTACACAAAATATTAGTACATCACAATTTCTCTTGGGGAATCTTACATTCTGTGATATTTCTCCTCCTATATTTTACCTACTGCCCTTGTAGAGGATGGCGTTGTTCTGTGACAGCCTGTCTTTTGATAACAAAAGCTGCTTTCTCCACTCAAAGGACACAGAAAAGCAATGCAATATCCAGGGATCAAAAAGGTAATCGATATTTTAGTTAATTTAGTTACAGGACTTTGGCTGTGGAACAGAATGTCTGTCCTTTGTAACCAACTCTTTTTTTTCCCCAGCAAAATGAAGTGACCATAATCAAAGTCATGTAAAACTCAGCGTACTCAACAAAGCTTCTCTCTTATAGTCAAGAGATAAAAACAGCTGAGAGATGGCATGGTGGGGAGACTGGTGTTTGGGAAGAGAGGTGGTTGGGGCTTTGTCTTGGCTTTTCCTGCCACTGAAGAAAGCAAGCAAACAGTTACAGATTAGTCCACTGATGAGTTCATAGTTGACTATGCTATTTGGAGACAGGGCCTGGTCAGAAGTGGCAGATCACTGGGGGTGTGACCTGAAAGAGTATTTTCTTGTCCCTGGCTACTCTCTTTGTACTCTGCTTCCTGGCTGGCACGCAGTGAACAGCTTTCCTCTGCCATGCCATTCTGTGATGCCATTTCTGCCTTGGAGCCAGCCAACTATGGCCTGAATTCCCTGAAACTGTGAGCCAAAGTAAATCTTTCCTCTTTTTAAGTTGCAGAGGTTAGGTATCTTGTCCTAGTGATGGAAAAGTGACTAATACACACTTGGAGAAGTCAGCAGAGAAAAGAGAATGAACTATATGGAGAACAAAGAAGCTCAAGATAAAAGAAAGCACTGTAGCAGTGATTAGGCACAGAAATTTTCAAAAGCAACATCATAGAAATGGAAATTCTTATTTTAAAGAATGTCTTTAACTTAAGTTCGGAAAATGTCCATTCATCTTACTTTTAAAGACACAAGGAAATTTTGTTTTTTAGCAGATAATAGACAATGAGACATTCTAATTACCCTCCTGCAAAAATCAACTAAAATGCTATATTAAAAAAAATCATAATTACATTAATAAGTTGTCAAGATAGTTAGAAATACTAAAGACCAAAACTATGAAAGTGGGAACCCAGAGAAGTGCAGATAACATTAGAACACGAGTCAGATTTTGTTTTAAGGGTAATTTCTTTTTTTTTGGTACTGGGGATCAAACTCGGGTCCTTGCGCTTGCAAGGCAGGTGGTAGAACCACTGAGCTAAATCCCCGGGCCCATTAAGGGCAATTTCTAAGCCTGGTACTCTCCTTCCCAGTCTAGGGTCTGTTTAGAATGGGAAATCTATGTATCCTTGTTCCCCACCAAAAAAAAATAATAATAGTAATAAAATAAAACCACACTCGCAGTGTCTCAGCAGACTTCACTGTAATGCTCTAGAAGTTTTTATAAAACTTTTTCTTCTAGAACTTCTAGTTTATAACTCTCTTCCCTGTACACCTAGTCATCCATACCTTTCCATTATAACAGTCTTTCACTTTACACTTGCCCCTCTTATTAAGGAAATACTAATCTGTCGCAAACCTTACAATACACCATCTCTTAGATTTCAACCACATTCCCATCCTTGGGCAGTTCTACAGTTTAAATTTACAATACCTGGGTGGTCTGGAAAACTTCAAACTAAGAATTCAGTGTTGCCCTAGGCTGGCTGTGCCTCAGGCAGGAGTAAATGAAAACTCTTTCTGGAGGAACTTATCTTCAAGTGAGTCTGAAGTTTCTCCCAAAATGTAAACAATGTAAAAATACACTGGAAAATAAGAGTCAATGAATGAGAGCCAACAAAAATTTGGGAGTATGTATTAAAGTTATCAAAGACGTAATCTGAAATGGTACAAAGGATTGATTTCTTGAGTAAAGACAAAGAGACTATAAAAATGACCAAGCAAAAACAAATGTGAATGTATACTAAATAAAATGTGTAGAAATAAACAATTAAAATAAAAATTCAGTTGATAGTTTAAACAGGTAGTAAGAGAAAACTAAGTTTATATTAAAAAATAAATTGTTGATAAACACTAAACTTTAAAAGTCTCAATGAGAAACACAATGGCCTCTGAAAGTATGAAAGTTAATTAGGAGATATTAAATAACTGAAAATAGGGCTGGGGATTTAGCTCAGTGGTTCCAGCTCCGGCCGCACAAGTGCAAGGCCCCAAGTTCGATCCCCGGTACCAAAAAAAACCCAAAAAACCTGAAAATATGTTCATGGACTAGAAGACTGAATGTTGTAAACATAATTCTCTCCATATTGATATATGTAAAATTAGCATACTACAGTCAAAACCCCAGCAGGTTTTTAGGGTATTTTAAGATTATTGTTTGTTAAGAACTTAAAATTGGCTGGGGATATAGCTCAGTGACAGAATGTTTACCTAGTGTGCATGAGTCTCTGGGTTCTATCCCCAGTACTGAAAACAGATTAAAAAATGAAACAAACAAGCCAACACCCCTCCAAACCCTAGAAAATCTGAGTCTGAAATTTAATTGGACTTACAAAGGGGCAAGAACTGTTAAAAGGAAAAAAGTCAGGGCTGGGAATTTAGCTCACTGGTGCCGTACCTGCCTCACAAGTGCAAGGTTGGGAGTTTGATTCCCAGTACCAAAAAAAAAGGAAAAGTCAAAGGTCTTACTTTGCTACCTATTCAGATTCATTAAAAGGGATCAAACTTAAGATGGTGTAGGGACAGACAGGTAGACCAGTGGAAAAGAACAGAGCACAGGAATATATTTGTACATAAGGGATATTTGATTTATGACAAAAATTTGGAGCCATGGGGAAAAGGCAATTTATGTTGGGACAACTGTATATCCATATAGAAGAAAAAGGAATTGAACTAACCCCTACTTCATATCATACACCCAAATAAGTTCCTGGAGGAATAATACCTATGTCTGAAAGTCAAACCGTAAAGGATTTAAAAGAGAATGTGGGACAAGAGAAGACATACAAATGGCCAATGGCCGTTATGAAAATGTACTCAACATCACTCATCAGGGATATGCAAAAAACCCACACACAGTATCACCTCAAATGTGTTAAGATGGCTATTATAACAACAAATAAAAGATAACATGTGTTTCAAGGATGTGAAGAAGTTGAAACCTCTGCACACTGTTGGAGCAGATGCAAAATGGTATAGGTTCTATGGAAAACAAAATAGTTTTTCTAAGAACATTAAAAATAGGCTGGGCATGGTGGCAGTTGCTTGCAAATCCCATCTTCTTTGGAAGCTGAGACAGGAGGATCAGAAGTTCAAGGGCAGCCAGCAACTTAGTAACTGATTCTGACTCAAAATAAAATTTCAAAAGGGCTGGGATATAGCTCCATGATAAAGCACTTGCCCAGCATGCACAATCCTGGGTTTGATACCTGCCAGTGCAAAAAAAAGAGAAAGAGAGAAATACTATATAGTCTAGCAATTTGTACATCTATCTAAAAGAATTGAAAACAGAATCTCAAATAGATATTAACACTCCTATGTTCATTGCAGCACTATTCACAATAGCCAAGATGTGGAAATAATGTAAATTTCCAGAGGTGGATGGTAAAGAAATGTGATACATACAACAGAACACTATTCAGACTTTTTGAAAAAGTAAGTTCTGTAGTAAGTGACAACATGCATGGACCTGGAGACATTTTGCTAAGTAAAATGGGCCAATATCTTGCATGATTCTACTTATATGAGGTATTGAAATAGCCAAATTCATAGAATCAAAGGGTGGAATGGTGATTGCCAGGAGTTGGAAGGAAGGTAAGTGGGGAGTTCTAATCCATAGGAATGAAGTTTCAGTCAGGCCAGGTGAGAGACAGATAGATCACAGCCAAACTAAACTTAAAAGAAACCAATAGGAAAATTGCAAAAGGCCTGATGGGAACTTCACAAAAGAAGAATTTGAAACATAAAAATGTGTGCTTCTGTTCTTGTGCCCTTTATTCTCTGATCCCCTTGGGGCCCCGCTGATCCTGGAGGGACTGTTCCTATTGGGTCGGGCAATTCCCAGAGATTGTAACAATTCACCACAAGTAAGCTTTTCAAATCAAACCAACCAATCCAGAGCCAACACCCTAACCGCCACCTTTGTTGGGCTCTCACATTATAGGCTATCCCCTCTAATCACCCCAGGGCCACACACCAACAATTTGAGAAGGCACTACATTGCAGAGCACATGAAAATTATTCAAACTAGCCAATTCTAAACCAATTTACTCTGCCTCACCTATTCCTTCCCAGGAAAACCACAGTAAGTTCCTTTCTGTCTCTCTTCCTCCTGGTAAACCCTAAGGGCTCATGTGGCCTCCTACAAAGTGGTTTGTTCCTTTCTCTTAGGAAGTCCAATAAACTATCTCTTTAGTGGTAGCTATTTTCTAACCTGTTGGCATTACCATACTCTACACTATATTGTAAAAGAAGGTCTTCACTGGGAATCAGAGAAGTACAAATTAAAATCACACTAGATCTCATTATATATTGATAATCTTAACAAAGGTTAAAATATTTCAAAAGTATTATTGAATATGTACAATTAGAAAGGTGATACACTGCTGGTGAGTGAATATCATCATGACCATTTTCACAAATAGGTAGCAATAATGCAGTAAAGTTGAAGACACAAGTATTCCTAGGTGTATATCCTAGGAAAAACTCCTGTACAATGAAGTAGGAGATATTTCAAAATGTTCATAGTGGTGCATGGTAGCACTGTTCCTGGTGGCAAAATTGAAAATGCCTCCCATATTTATGAAGAATAGAAGAAATATATACAAAGGGATATTAAGTGATGGTATAACAAACACTTATAACTGAATGCAACAGTGTGAATGAATTTGAGGAATATAATATTGAAGAGAAAAACTCATTAAAATACATATAGTATGACCCATTTATACAAAGTTCAGTAAGACAGAAAACAAGCAACTGTTAAAAAACACAAACATGCAGTGGTTACCCTGGAGGCAGGTAGTGAGGACAATGATCTGCGACTCAACAAAGGTAATGCAATTTTTTTTTCTTAAACTTGGTGTTGGCTCCATAAGTGTTCATTTAATATTCTTTACACCTTATATATATTTTATAAACATCCTTTTTCATCTATTGAGTTTTTAACACAGAATTGTTTAAAAAAAAAGAGAGAACGGATAGGGAGACTGGTTTTATAGTAGCAAGAGCACAAGTCATACCATCTTCACTGGTGTGGGGTTCTGTACCAGTCTCCTGGTCCACTTCCTCCAAGGTACCGTGCTCACTGTATGGGCTGTCACTGTGGAGCAGAAGTAGAAATTTATAAGCAACCGAAGTGGAGAGAATTTTTAAAGTGAATAATTGCTACTTTAAGGAAAAACCCAAGACTTTTAATGGCAAAAAAGTTACTGAATATTATGGAAGATGGAATGCTACACAACCTCCCTTGATCTTCTGTTTTGTGGGGCTAGACATTAATCTTTGACTACGTCATTTTACAATTCTATTAGGACAGAGGTTAACGTATAGAAAACTGGTAGCATTATAAATAATTCTTATCCATAGAAATGCAAATTAGTTCAATGTGGGTAGAGTATGTTCCATTGCTACTCTACAGACAGACAAGATTTTACAAATTCATCATTCTTTTACTAGATATAAGTTGATGGTTCTTTGACTTCTCTTTTGAACTGATCATAACATCCTGTCCATTATTTCTTGACGTGTTCATTTCATTTCTGTGTTTGAGTAATTATTTTTATCCTATTTTAGAACTTACTCTTTAATACTACTACTATCTCTCCTCAAATATATGCTGATAAAATGTACTGGCCACAAATACAAACCTGTCACTACTATAAAAGCTCATTTATATTGCTGATGTTAGGGGACAAGGATAACTACTGTTATTATTAATTTTCTGTTTAAAATTAGCAATACTCATAGAAAACATTATCTATAAGCAGAAGGATACACTATTACTGGCTGCAAGACTATTATGTAGGTTTCTACCCTATTTGGAAAAAGTTACAACCACAACATGTTCTAGAATACAACACACCAAATAACACTGACTAGAAATCCATTTGGTCTTTGATAAAATGAGTAAGACAGCAGAGCTTACCAATAAAGCCCTGATACCTGAGAATGCTAAACATGCATCCGACATTGGCCTTAAAACAAATTACTATGAAAATAAAGTTATGTATCTCAGTAGGGCTGGGCTTTATTCACTTAAATTGCCACAGCCAAGTTTTAGTCAGTAAACTGCACATAGTAAGTACTCAAGTAAATATTTCTGAATTGAATTTCACGTGTAAAGTTACAGGATACATTAGAGAACTGAAATCTAGCATGTTTTATTGTTAATTTGGAAAGCAGTATTTCTGGAAATATATAACACTCAGTTTTCTTAAGTATCATAATGGCTAAATAAAACAAAAGTGCTTTTCATCTTTTAGCTACTTGTCCCTCTGTAAGGAAATGAGGAATACAGTATCCTCAGCAGAGTCCAGATCGAAGGATTTAGACATGTCTGTTTCTAGCTGCTGTCAAATCCTAGATGTTTTTGTCTCAAAAACAGGCTGTTTTTGAGGTAGACAGGTAGGCTGTTAAGGGGGAAGACTCATGGACTTTCAAATCAGTCATATCTAGTGCTATGGTGTGAATGTGTCCCCCACAGGTCATGTGTTGGAAACTTAATCCTTCAACTCATATCTTGAAGGTATTGGAGGTGGGAGCTATGAGAGGTAACTAGGGTTTGATGAGGTGATGGGGGGAGGCATGTTAGTTGGAAATTAATAGCTTTTTAAGAAGAGGAAGGGAAACCTGAGCACATGTGCTCCTTTGCTCTTGGGTCTGAATCTTTCTACCATGTTATGACACTTGCCAAATGGCAGCACCTTGGTATTAGACTTCCCAGACTCTAGAATTGTGGGATGTAAATTTATGCTTTTTTAAAATAAATTACCCAGTCTGTAGTATTCTATCATAGAAACAGAAAATGGAATGAGATACCCTAGGCTGCCTCCAATTACTACTGATCACTTGGCAGGCTCGTTGGCTTTTCTTATTTGGCAGAATGTTTATGACAAAAGAAATAATGCACACTGAGTACGCAGCACATAATAGGGGATCAAGGAATTGAAGCTTCTTTTAATGCATGATTTCTCAGAAACTGGTTAAAATTCACAGAGTAACTACCAAATAGTTACACAAACATTTTAGGGTTTCCTACCTTTGGAATTATGCAATTAAAGATACTGCTCCCATTCTTACAGCTCAATGGGAGGTGACCATCTCCCATTTATATTTAAAAAATTTTATTCCTAAAATATGTTAATATCATGAATTTGTTAATAATAATTGGTTAGAATAATATTCATTAGTAAAAGTTAAAATGAAAATATAATAGGGATAAAAATATATTTGGTTGATAAGGTTCTCAGAATGAGAATATTAACTTTATATGGCATCAAAACTATCTGATTAAGGGCTGGGGATTTAGCTCAGTGGTTCTGCTGCTTGCCTTTGCAAGCACAAGGACCCAAGTTTGATCCCCGGTACCAATAAAAAACAAAAACAAAAACAAACTATCTGATTAAGAATGGAAAATAAAATCTGTTAATCACTTATCTTTTCTTGAGTTAATATGATAAGAATTAATATAGCTCTGAAAGATCAAATCTTTATTCTCCACAAAAGCCATGGCAGGGTAGATTTATCTAGACAGATATAATCCTTGGGGAAAAGAGAGTGATGAATATGAGTTTGCATAACAGAATACCAGTGTATTCTCACTTGTCTCAAATGTTAGTGCTGCTTCTTCTTACCTTTGTTTTGTTCTGTTTTTTAAACAGGAAGCATTAGTGGCTTAGGGACAATTCCTTTTTCTAATTCAGCTGATACCTGTGCTTCTATATTATATATGTGTTTGTGTGTGTGTGTGTATAAAATTTTATTTAACATTTTATTTTTTGGCAGGAAGAGAACTAACATTCTTGGACTCACCAGTAGTCATCTCCAGCCATACATTTCTCATAAACAGGGCCATCCAGTTCTTTAGAATCTGGGAAAATGGTCTCATGGTGGATGATGATAGTCTTGACAATTTCATTCACATGTGCCTGGCAAGACACCTGGTCCTGGATTTCCGGGACGGGCATCAGTGTTGGGCCAAAGCAAATGGCCAGGTTGTAAGGGTCCATCATATTCTCATCACTGTATTGGGAAAGACTTCAAAAGAAAGCAGGAAAGAAGTTGTAAAAAAAAGAAAAGAAAAGAAAGCATGTTTAATAAGACATTTCATATTCTGAAAACAGGGTTTTTATTATTAGAATAAAATGATACTCTATCTTGGTGGTCCCCAAAATCTTTGGCAGTTTCACTTTTCCACAAATGTGTAGGGTGTGGAGGTTCAGAATGAATAAAGAAAGCAGACAACCTGGATCCCTGGCATGCGCAGTTTACAGTACGCTCACGGTCCTATGAGGATCTCATGTGGCTACTCATCTGACAGGGGCAGAACTCAGATGGTAATGGGAGCCATGGGGAGGGGCTGTAAATACAGTGAAGCTTTGCTTGCTCCCTGCCACTCAACTCCCGCAGTGTGTCCTAGTTCCTAACAGGCCACAGGTAACCCTGTTCTATCTCACTTAAAGATAACTCTCCAAAGAAAGTAAAATGACTTATGATCTTCAACTTGGTAAAAACAGAGAGGGGCACATAGGTGTTCTATGCTTAAGTGGCACTTTTCTAAGTCAAGAGAGAGAGTTTATACAATAGCCACGACAGTGGAGATCAAGGTCAACTGGATGATTCTCACTGGTAAATTTTATAGTCAGACTCTAAATTTGGGAAAGACAGTATGATTTCCATAGAGCTTTATGGATGTCTTTAAATTTGTCCTCCCACCACTCAAAAATATCTTAGGTTTCAGTTTTCTCCAATAAGCCGTGAGGAAAGGTTAGAAGAAAACAATTCATTTTCTTTTTCACAATTGAAAGGGAATGAATAACAATTCTAGGCTTTACAATCTGTTTGGGGTAAATCCACCAACACTAGGTGGACATTCAACAAAAGACATTCAAAGTGCAAGAAATGGAGAGGAGAAACCTCGATTATTTCATTCTATTTAAGGCAGCCAAACTTTGCGGGGAGATTTCTGGTTATCTACTACTAATTTCTAAACACAATGTAAGTGACATTTTTGAAATATTATTACAGGCCACTCAAAATAAGCCAGTTCTTCATTGAAATGCTCCTAACACATGGGCATACTATTCTAGGGAGAGTTTAGAAATGTTATCTCTCAGTATATAGAATATCAGTCTTGAAAGGAAATATAAAATCCAGGTGAAGAGATGACAAATGGAAGTAAAAAAAGGAGACTCAACTACCTTTGTAAGGTGTTGACAGACACAAAGAAACCGAGATACCACCTGGCTCGACATTTAACCCTTTTTCAGAAAGCAGAAAATACAAAAGCATGATTTCCATAGCTAACATATGTCTTTCCCTTCTGCCATTCCTCAAACATGCAGTCTTACAAAAGCGTTCATGATAGTGAATGGTCATGTTACAGATGATCTTGAAAATGGGAGGAGGATGGAGAAGTGAGATTCAGAATAAGAATGGTCCAATTTGCAAAAGACACAAGCTCAGCAGGGAGACTCAAGACTTAACGTTTCTAGGTCATTCATTCAGTGCTGGCTTGAAGAGAAAAACTCTCATATAAAAATACTATTTCTAAGTTTTGATTTTACAATAAGAAATAGCTAAATCATTCCCCCTTCCTTTCTCCAGTGCTGGAAATTGAATTCAGGGCCTTCCACATGGTAGGCAAATGCTCTACTGCTGAGCTACATCCCTAGCCCTAATCTCTTTTCAAACTTTCTGTTCAAACTCCTAACATAGTAGCTGAGCCTGTGTCCCTGTACGAAGGCAGGCGGGGGCAGCTGGGGGACATTTTTGAGCAGAACCAATTAAAGCAATGCTGGCTGTCTGACTTGTGTTGCATTTGCCATTTTGTTGAAATTCCCAATGAATTATATTCAGGTTTTGAGAACTTGCTTAATTAACAGACCACTTTTCTAATCCATTGTGTTTCACTGGTTCACAGTGAGTTCACTCAGGTGTATCAGGACAATTTGGTCAGAACAGCATGGAGAGAACCAGCAGAAATAGGCAATACCATAGTGGGGTTGTGGGGGAGCAATACATGCAATTAAAGGTGAAGAAGGCAAGCTCCTGGATTTTTTCAACTGCCTGACCCTTATTTAAAGGTAAAAATGTATAGCATCTATGTAACTTAAGCACTTTACACTCATCTTTCTAGATACTGCTTATTTCCACTGGTGAATTCTGTATAAATGGGTTCCTACTGTCATCTGGGAATGTTTTAGGCACCACAGGTTGAACAGCAGAGCCCCATGTTGTTTGGTTTTTCTGTCAGCATTTCCTCACTGTACAATGCTTGGCTGTTGCGGCCGACCTGATTTCAGAACTAGTCTGGAGGGTTATAGTAAATCTCTGTGACTTTTGAGTAGGCAAAACCTCCAGTGAAATAGAGATGAGAAAATATCCAAAGTGTAGGAAGGGAGAATCCATGCCAGAAGAGAAGGCATTTCTCCAAACTTTAAATGTTAGCTCTCCTGGATTTCTTTATTTCCAACTGCCTAACTGAAATGTTGCATGGCAAGGGGACTCTTAGGTAGGATTTCGGGAAGATGTTCTTATAATGAAGCCCATATATCAAGAAAAAACATAACTTAAAAATCAAATTGCCTAAACTGAAACAGTAAAGTTTTTCTTTAAAAAAATGCAGTGCAAGGGTCAGGGATTTAGCTCAGTGGTTCCGGTGCCTGCCTTGCAAGTGCAAGGTCCCGAGTTCGATCTCTGGTACCAAAAATAAAAAAATAAAAACGCAGTGCATTTAAGATTTCTGATATATCATTTTAGATAATATTTTAGAAATATTTTCTTTTTGACAAGGTCTTATTGTGGGAAATTTGCAGAAATTCTTTTTTGGATCTGTGTATAAGTCCCATCTATGATTTCTTTCCATCCCAACCACAACACTAAAGGGCTAGGGATTTAGCTCAGTGGTTCTACCACCTGCCTCGAAAGCAGAAGGTCCCAAGTTTGATCCCCAGTACCAAAACAAAAACACTAAAACTCATAGAAATTTTTTTGCAATGAAAAAGTGGTTTGCATCATTTATGACATTAACTTTGGATGGAAGTTGGAAAAACATACATTTTCCTGGAAAGCACTATTTTTTGGTAGTATTTGGATATTTTTGCATTTATGGCCAGCCACATTTGTGTATCTGGGGTAGTGCTTTTATCTATCATACAAAGACCTTGATATGCTGCAGAAAAATTTACCTTCAGTTTATAGTCATTTTTTTTCCCTTTGACTCAGCTGATAGATGGAACCCGATGCACATTTTATAGGACCCAAGAACACAGACAGAATTTAGATGGGCATTTTGGCAGAGCACTAGGGTACTTACTGATTGAGGAAGGCGAAGAGGTACCTCATCACTATCAGGACTGACCTGGGCAAGGTCAAGAGGAGTTTGCGGATGTGAAGTGCCCTCTCATAGAGATTATCTATTCCTGCAGACCGAAAATGATATGGTCAGTATCCTTTAGCTTCTACAATTAAAGCAGATCACTGCAGCACACATGTTACAGGAAAACATCTAAACATTAAGCAATTACTTTGCCCTTGGGAAGATGCAATTGTAATCAATATAGTGTCCAAGTGATTATCTGGGTGAGTCACCATTTCTGAGGGCATTTCCTCTGACTCATCTCTGATTTCCAGTCTTGGTCTTGAGAAATTTAGTCTTCTAGATTTAAAAATCATTTTTCCCTGGCTGCTGAGTCCAAATTTTGCATCTGATATGGTTTCAACTTCTTTTTGCTTTTCTCCATATAAACTGAAGTAGCTTTCGGGAGAATATCATGTCTCCCCTGACCACTTTTCATTAATTCACCATATGTTTATTATTATATCTCTTACTATGGTCCAGTAACATGTCAGATTTAAATCCTTTCTCAAAACTACCACAGTATTTTATTTATATGACTTTTTATCTTGTATGTTATTTTTTCATCAACTTTACAAACATTTTAGGAGAGATTACTAGGTTCCAAGAACTGAGTTAAGTATTAGGAACACATTAGTGATATAATTCCTGCATCACAGAAAGTTTGTGTTTATTGTTATTTATTTCCCTACCCCATGTTCCCTGTGGGATGGAGAGATCCTTGAAAAGAGGAGTCATAGGAAGGACTTCATAGTTTTATTTTCTCTTTGTTAAGAATACAAATTGTCCAAAATATCTCAATACTAATGTACTTGTGAAACCGCAGCGAAAGGATTACTACTAATCTACTACGTGAAAAGCTATACACACACACACACACACATACACACACACACTCATGGTATTTTCACATTTGTTATGTAACTTAATGGGAATAACTCTGTGCCTGCAAGTAGGCAGGGCACATGCTGTCATCCCCATTGAACAGAGTAAAGTGAGCTGCGGTAAGTGGCTAACCCAAGGGCAGTTGCTAGAAGGAGTGGAGCTGGGACTGGAAGCCCTGTCCTGTTTTATAAATCTGGTTACTTTTCTTTTTTTTGGTACCGGGGGTCAAACTTGGGTCCTTGCTCTTGCGCAGCAGGCGGCGAAACCACTGAGCTAAATCCCCAGCCCTTGGTTACTTTTCTTGCATCTCAAAGTATCTTTATAAAGTATAGCTTTGAAGTCAGCTAATAAACATATACTTGAGAAAATATTTTTGAAATTCCATATAATTTCATATCACTATAAGTGTTCCTAATTGCTCCTGAAATATTGATGAATCCTAGTAGAAAATCCTTAGTCCTTAGCTTCTCACACTACTGTCAATTGATTCTACTCGGTTTTCATTTTGTTTTGTTTTTAACTGTCTATCCACAAATGTAGCTATTCCCCAGGTGATTTTTACCTGGTTCTCTTCAATGGCAATGTCACCCAATCTCAAAGGCGTAACCATCACCCCTACCATGGTATCTGCGCCATTTTTCTTCCATGTGTGGGGAAAAAAGTCTGGTTGTTTCTACCTCTGGATAGTTCGCTGCTAATTTCCTCACTGAAGTCTTATTTCTCACTTTGGCCATCATAATACTCTTCTATCTCATTTCTCTTTCCAATATATCTTAAGTCAGTGCTGTTCAACTCTGACTTGGGTATTCTTGGATAGATTTTTAAAAATGCTGATGCCCAGGATTCTTTTATGCAATCAGGGTTAAAACTATTGCCTTAATTATCACATTTTACTGGGATTTGAGTGATAACTCCAGTTGCAGTCCACTTTATTACCAAGCTGAGCTTTCTATTTTTCCCTCTGCACAGCTGAAAAGGTACAAAAAATGAATTTGGAATAAGCTCAACCACAAATAAGTTTGCAAAATAGCAAATAATACTTAGTTTCCTGGGGATGAACATTTCACCACTTACCAGTCCAATTATTTAAATTCAGATGACCAAAAACTGTATATTTTTTGTTAATTTTTATAAGATAATATAACAGGAAATACAAAAACAACAATTTTATGAAATTTATTCAATGCAAGAATTGGCTGACTGAAATGACACCTGCCTGAGTGGCACTCGGCACAGTCAGTACGTAAATGAATGCCCTGCCTGAATGATGCTCTGGGTAAGCTGTTAAGTGGTTTAAATTCCCACCTTTAATTATACCATGGTTGGAACTGTAGCTCTGTTATCATTTAGAAAATGTGATTTCAGAAACTCTTTAATGACAGCATAAGTAAAATGTTATCATTCCTGTAACATTTTTACTCTTTAAATATAAAATAAAAATTATAATATATTCTTTGTAGTTAAAATCTTTGATTATAGTAACCATGAATTGGATACATTATATTGTCTTTTTATTTGTAAAGTATTTCAAAATGGAAAAAAGTGCTATGAACAAGGTAGGTTAGGGAAACACCTACTAAGTAAGTGTAAGTACTTTGTTTATATACTTTCCAGCCAATGTCTTTTTTCCTGAAAAAGGGGAGTAAGATGTTTTTTAAAAAGTTATTAAATAGGTATATAAATTCACTCAGGCCGAAAGAACTCAATTATTATTACATTATCAAGATATGGACCCAATTTAGCCTCTAAGTCTACTAGAATCAAAACAAGCTCTCAGAGATACATACTTGGGAACACACACTGTAAAGAGAGCAGATAAAGTAATTTGTAAGTCACTGAGAATTTAATGGGAAAAATTATATCTATTAATACTATATATTTAGATACAGTTTGATTATGATTTCATATTAGAAAGTAACAGGTTAAAAGTTCGTTACCTAAAGTACCTGTTTAAAAAAGCACAATGGTTGTTGCTGATGTTAAAGAGCAAAAAGATAATTTATCATACCTCTTTCTAGAAAACCAATCTTTAAAAGTGAACATAAAAAAAACCCCTCAAAGGCAAAATTTTACATATTATGATCTATTCTTAAGAATACTGAACTTTAGTAGCATGTGTCTCTTTCCTGATTTTGAAAAGTGCTTTAATTTTAACTCTGGATTCTCTTGCTTTTAATATCTCAGTTTTTTGTCCATTTTCCCTTTCTTTTTATCTTTTTTTCCCTTCACCCCCTTCCTCAGATCCACTTTCCATCTTCCCATTTCCACAATCAGTTCTAAACTTAGTCCTTCTTCCTTGTAAAGGCAGTTTCAATAGTTACACAAACTTCATAGCAGCATTATTAATAGCAGTCAAAAATTGGAAATAATGCACATGTTCATAGATTAGTGAATAGATAAAATGTGACATGTATATGTATATATGACTATTATTCAGCTTTGGAAAGGAAGGTCATTCTAACACACGATGCAACATGGATGAACCTTAAAGACACTATGCTAAGTGAGATAAACCAGCTACAAAGGGACAAACATTACACAGTCCTATTATATGAGGCACCTAGACTAGGCAAATTTATGGACACAGAAAGTAGGACAGATATTACAAGGGCCTGCGGAGGGCCCTGTTTGGTAAAAAAATGGTTTGGTTGTAGTCATAACATTTGCACAGTAAGGTAAATATACTTAATGGCCCTGAACTGTACACTTAAAATAATAAATTTTATGCCATGTATCTTTTGCCACAAAAAAATAAAGAATTGAGGAGTCTGTAGGACGCAAATGAAAAATTTAGGAGTAAAAAGCAACAGCAATATAAAAAGAGTGATACCAAAAAGACTACTTAAAATTATGCGAGGTAACATATATTCTCTATAACTACAGTAAATATAATTTAAAGTGAAACAGAATTGCTGGCATTTCTGAAGTAGCAACAAATCTATCTGTCCAGCCTGTGAGTAGGATGAGACATTTACCTGGTTGGCTTGCAGCATGCATCTTGTAGGAGCATTGCTCTGGTACAAATGACTCATTTACTTTCTCGAGTCCAGTTAGTGGGCCAAAATTTATGGCTGCTAGTGACACTCTGATTAATGTGCATTCTTAGCTGGCAATTCATGATCTTTCAGTCTCATGCTGGATGTAAGAATGGATCTTTCTTCCTCTCAGAAAAGCTGACAGTAAGGGAAGTCCGTATTTTATTTGGATAGTTTTAAACTAGGCTTTGGCTCCACAATTCAGGGTCTTGTGTAATTAAGTAAAAGTGGCATTCATTCAATCTTGGTCACATGCTCAAAGCCTCCAGTACTAATTTATGTTCTTTTCTCAGTAATGCAAGTTTCTCACATCAGTGTTCTAACTTCACAGCATGGAAGTGTGATAGTTCCATGAAAATGTCTGTGAAAAATTCACCATAAAATGTAAGGTACTTCAGAGAATGGCAAAAAGTTCAAATGGCCATTAACCTGAAAATTTTGATTCTCCAGAAAACAAACAATAAATCACAAGACAAAAGTTTATACTAAAGTATGAAGACAAGAAAAAGAGTGTCCTTGGTGACTACATTAAAAAAAAAAAGGGAAAGAGAAAAACAGAGGGATATTCTAGTACATTTGGATGCACCTTTGCCTTAGTTTGATATGAGTTACCAGTTACTCTCCAAGGTAAGAAATAAATGCTTGGAAACTTCTGTAATTGACTGGTAACAGATTGACTTCTGTGAATCAATCCATTGCTTTCTCTCCTACTTAAATAACAGCACTAAATAAATAAATATGTAATTTCCGGTTCTGCTGACTTACCATTATTGAGGTTAGTAGCTTCACCTATTTGGATATCCAGGGTGTTAATATTTTTAAAATAAAATAAATTGTAAGAACATTATTATAAGACATCAAACAGAAATTTAGAATTGAGGGAGAAAACCACCATGTATGTCAATAAAATTGATAGAATTTTTAATAACAATACAATATATTACAGCACCAGTAAAAGAGTTCATAAAGGATTTTTTTATGAAATAATCGGAAATGGGCAAATAGATATATGCACTGAGAGGCACATGATTACCAAATCATTAGAAACAATCTAAATGTCTAAAACTAGGGAACATGAACAGAAATCAGTATATAGCCACCAAAAGCTGAATTTTGAAAAATGTACACTGATGTGAGAAAAATG